ACCGCGTTACTTTAAGTAATATTATAACTATTAATATACCTATATAGTAAACTAGATTAACTAACTTTAAAGCTATTATATCGCCTTAAGATATAATACGCGAGATTATCGCCCTTTAATATAGTATATAGTTACTTAGGAATAAAGGAGGTAATAGATAAGTTAAGGACCTTAGAGAAGTAGTTAAACTAAAATAGCTAGGACTATTTAATAGTACTTATAGTATACTTTAAGACTTTCTTATTTAACTTAAGGCTTACTATTAGTTTTACCCTACTAAACTCTTAGACCTAGTTAAAAAGGTACTTTATATAAGAAATTATTTATTTAGAATAATACTTACTTAGTTTAGACCTATTATAAGGGATTTTCTTAATAACTAATTAGCGTAATAAGATAATAAGATAGATAAAGTTTTTACTAGTTTCTAAGGATTTAAAGAAGCTATTATAAAGGTATTTAGAATAACTAATAAGGAATAAAAAGCTAAATAAAAACTTTAAGAACTTTAATAAAGGATCTTAGTATTAGATTATACTATAAAGTTCTATTAAATTACCTTAAAACTTAATTAAGATAACGAACTTCTTATATTACGATTTTATAATAAGCTTAAAGAAAAAGTTAAGGATAAACTCTATAAGGAAAATCGACTTAATAACCTCTTAGACTATATTACTATAGTAGTATAAATTAATAATAGATAGTATACGCGATACTAAGAAAAGAAATAAGGAAGAGGAAACTAAAACCCTTTTTATAAAAATAACTTTAACTAACGCGCTAACTATAAAAAGAAGTATAAAACTCTTATTACCTATACCTATATAATTAACCTAAGTAAGATAGATCTAAATATAATATAGAAAAGTAAAGGAAAGTATTTAAACTATAAGAAACTTAGATATTACTTTAAAGAATATAAATAACCTTATAAAGAGAAGAAAACCTACTAAGTACTAGCCCTAAAAGGTAAGAAATATCTAAACGCTATTAATAAATAGGAACTAAAGTATAAACTCTTTAGTTAGACTATATACTATAATAATAAATATATAGTATACTTAAGCGATAAGAACGGTATTAAATAGTTCCTAAAGCTATTAAAGAAGACCCTTATAATAATATAATAAAGGGATCTTAAAATAAAGAAATAAGTTAAATTTATAAAACTAGAATACCTTTATCTTAAAGGAGTCTCTTAAGACTAAATTAAAAAGAATAGTAAACGATTCTAGGAAGATATATAAAATAAAAATTAATAATAACGATAGGTAGTCTATAAATAATATAATAAAGAAGATACAAATATAGCCCTTATACTTATAAAACTTAAATAATAACCTAAGGAGGAATAATAAAGTATTAACGATATAAGCTCTAAAGAATAAGAAATACTTAGAGAAATAAAAGATAAGAATAAACTTATACTACTACCCTTACTATTAAGGAAAAATACTATAATTAAAAAATACGCTTTATACTTTAAAGAATTTAAAGAAATACTTAAAATTAGAACCTAATAAATACCTTAAATTCTTATAGAAAACTAATAAGCTATATTAATTCGGTATTAACTAGTACTATATAAAGGAGACTATACTATAGCTATTACTATAGTTAGTACCTTTATAGCTTTATAATAAGAATAGTAACTATAAGGAGAATTTAAAGATAATCTATAAATACTACTTACTTATAAGTACTATAAGTATATTTTATAGATATTATATATCTAGGAACACCGTTCCTTATAAAATAATAGTAAGAGGTTATAAAAGTACTTTAGTATTTATTACTATAGCTTAAAAAGCTACTTTAGCTTCTTTATTTAAAAGGCCTTATTAATATCCGCTAAGCTAACTATATAAACTACTATTGTTGCGAAGCCGCTCGTAGGACCTCTAGAGGTTCCCTGCTTGCTGATGCTCCTGCTGAGACAGTCAGCCAGGACGTCAGGCCTGCTTTCTGATGCGTCGGCTGAGACAGTCAGCCCGGCCGTCAGGGACGGTGTCCTAGGAAAAAGTGGGCGCAGCCACCTCCGACGATTGACGGAGGTGTGAGGCAGACGGAGAAGATCGAGATTGTGGCCAGGAATAAAAGGGCGAGGAAGGAAGGAACAGACACAGAGAACAGAAGGGAAAATGGAGCAGCACCGGACGATTCTGAAATACTAACTTTATGCCTATTTGGCCCTACTATTCGTGACAGTCATGAGCCCGGGAGGAACTACGTTCCTGTAACTTCCATTCCGACCGAAAACCACTCTCAAATCAACGAGATGTCGAAGTCTTCTGCCGCCCCTGCACGAGCGATCCTCTCAGGACCAAGCAACTGGGACAAATGGAGAAGGGAGCTCAGGAATCGAACTGACAAGACGATCCATAGCCTGATCTTTACCAACGAGGACCCCCTCGAACCTCCTGAGCGACCTGAATTCCGCCACTACGCCCCTGATGCTGTTAGACTCGCTGACCTCTCTGCCGTTCAGAAGAGAGATTATAACGACGCGATGCGGGACTATGATATCAGGAGGAAAGAGTATAAAGATGAGACTAAACTGGTTACCAACGCTCGCATAGCGATGCAGGAATCAGTGGTATCCTCGAAGCAGAACGCCTTCGACGAAGACCTTCCAATTCGTCAGTGGTTTAAACGTCTAGAAGCGTCGACGGCCCCTGAAGGGATATATGATGAATCTCACAAGGACCAAGTATTCGACCCACCTAAAGAGATTTAACGCAAAGGATCTAGACTCCTGGATCGACAAATGGGAAGACATAATGTCTGACGCCGATAAGTATAAGCTAATGGAGGCCCAAACGGGCCAGTGGCTTAGAGACGTTGCCACATTGATTAGGCCTCTGGATAACTCCCTAGGCTACCAGTACGAACAAGGAAGCAGGATACTCGACGCAAAATCAGAGGCTACCCAGGGGAAACTGTTCGACTTCGACCGATATGGTCCTCCTGCTGCTGCTCCTGTTAACCCCGTTGTTCACAATCCGGCAGCAGCTGCAGTAGCCGCGATGGCCGCTGCAGCAACGGCCGCAGTCGCCGCCGTTCTTGCAGCCCAAGCTCCGACGGAGAGTCAATGGACTGTTGAGAGAGTCGTGCGAGATGTGAAGCATCTGGCCGAAAGCAGAGAAGCAGAAAACCCGAGGTGCTATCAAAGAGGAGGCGCATTTCATGCGGACAAAGCAGCAGCAGACGCAGACGATGCGGACGAAGTACCGCCAGCGAAGAAGAAGAAGCTGGACAGAGAGCCCTTGGAAAGGGAGCCATATTCCAAAAGAGATCCCTGCCTTGCCTGCAGACGCAAGGGACACGAGCTCGAGGGTTGCTGGCAGGTTATCGAAGAAGCCAGACCAGAGGGCTATAATCCGCCCCCTGAAAGGTATCTCAAGATGACACGAGAGAGAGTCGCTGACGATCCTGTCCTGAAAAGGAGAATTGAAGATATTCGAAAGAAAATGCAGAAATAGCAACCAAGGATGAGGGGAAGGCTTGTGGGCTCAGCAAACCCAGCTTTCGTGTTCTCAGCTGAGTCCCCTGGCCTAAGGGGATCGGAATATCCGCTTAAGAATTCAACCCTCCTTGATTGCGGCGCATCTCTTCATATCAACAACAAGCTCAGTCGGTTCCGATCGTTTAAAAAGGCCAAGAATGACTTTATCGTCGCCGGTGACTCTCTCGTTCGAATCGAAGGATTCGGGCGAGTCAATGTCGCAACGACGATGCCTGACGGCTCCCACCGAACACCCGATTAAAGAAGGTTGCCTACTGTCCCGGTTTCTCATCGAGCCTGGTTTCTTTGCAGACTCTTATCGACGACGATCAGATCTTTTGGGATACGCTGTCTGAGCCTATGAGGCTAGTCCGAAAGGGCCAGACTATCGGGATCACCGAGAGGAAATATCAGCAGTTTGTTGTTGAATACCAGCCCGTGGAAACCGAATTCCCGGATTTCAACAGTGCGTTCCAGGCATCGAAGAAGGAGACAAGGAAAGCTCGAAGAGCCGGCTCAAGAGATCCTCGACCTGCCTCTCAAGGAGACGGCAAGCTTTGGCACGCCCGTCTTGGTCACCCTGGTCCAATGGCTTTGCACAAGCTAGGCCTACAAAGGGGTCCGGATTAAGGGGCCGAAAACCGTCGAATGCGAGTACTGTGCTCAGGGGAAGGTCAGAAGGCAAGTCTCCCGCCGTCCACCTGACGAGGAAAGAGACAAGCCGTGCTACGAGATCTGGATAGACTGGACCGACCTTGCGAGAGACCACGAGAACTACGTCCGTGTGATGTTTATCACAGACGCCTTCTCTGGAATGGTCTTTCCCTACTTCATGAAGACCTACAAGGCAAAGGAACACGGAGCTGTCTTGAAAGACTTTTCCTCCTTTATGCTCGCTCGCTTTGGATTTAAGACGAATGTCGTGCGCTCTGACGGCGAGCTCTTCACGAAGAAAATCTCAGCCTGGATGAGGAAGAAAGGGATGACAAAGGCGATGTCAGCTTCCAACACTCAGGACCAGAATGGTGGAGCCGAGAGGTCAGGAGGATCTCTACCGAGAGAGCGAGAGTCATGAGGATTGCCTCTCGACTACCGCATTCACTATGGAAAGAGATCATCGAAGCAGCCTGCTACCTCCGAAACCGAACGCCAAGAGAGCCTCGATTCGCCGCTGAAAACGCTAACGAAGGAGAAGCCGACTGGAAGTCTCCCATTGACTTGTTCACAGGAAGAAAATCAGCTCACATCTTCGTGCGTACGGCTGCCGAGCCTACGCAATGACAGCAAATGCACAGCTTGGATTGAGGAAGAGGTGGAAGCTCGACCCGAGAGCTCACATCGGATACCTCATCGGTTATAAGTCTACAAATATCTTCCTAATTTGGGTCCTCTCTTGAAGAAGGTCATTGCAACGAGAGATGTTGTCTTTGACGAGTATACGTTCTTCGAAGGAGGAGGCGAGCGGATGCCGCTGCCTGCGAGCATCGGAGAGATGATCCAACAGATTGAAATCCCGGAAGGCCAGACGGCGAATCAGGCCATCCTTGACGAAGAGACCGATGAAGACACTGATATCGAGGACTTCGAGGATGATGACATCAGAATGGCTGAAGATAACGAAGACGAGGAGCAGGGACAACAACAAAGCGAAGAGCAGGAAAAAGAAGACTACGGGAGAGCGCGGGAGCTGGAAGATGCATACCTAACGCCACCAGCTTCTGACCCGGAGGAAGAAGAACCACATGGAGTCTTTTCGGTTCACTTTCCATACGCTGACCCTAAGGGGGTGGTGGTAAAAGCCCCTTTCCAAGTCGATCTGGAGCCGTTGCAAGCTCAGAAGAGAGTCCGGGTTCAGGATGATCCTGAAGAGGAGGCTCACCCTGAGGGGTGGGTTGCTCTCTTGGAGGAGCGGCATTTCAAGCCGACCTTGAAGGCCTGATGAAAGAATCGCGTTTGAAAGCTCTGGAACCATTTGATCAACCAGAGCTGGATCAGTCATACATCGACCGTTTTGCCGACTTCGTCCCGGTGCCAATTGAGGACGGGGTGCACGGAGCCTTCACAGCAGGAAGGTTGTTCAGACCGAAAAGCGCAAAAGTCCACAAGAGAGACCTACCCGAGCCTCCACAGACGCAGAAGCAACTAGAAAAACACCCGTATAGAGAGGAATTCACCCAGGCTCAGAGAGACCACCTGGCCTCACATGCGGAAATGGGCTCGTTTGACGAGGTCTTCTGGACGAAGGCTGCTGGAAAGCAGGTCCTCGGTTGCAAGTGGGTATTCATCTATAAGACTGATAAGCACGGCAATCTCCAAAAGTGCAAAGCTCGCCTCGTTGTCTGTGGCAATCAGCAAGAAAGGGGACCTGCCTACTCGAGCGACTACCCTCGCAGGAATGTCGTTTCGTACGCTAATGGCCATTGCCGCGGAACACGACCTCGAATTGGAACAGATGGATGCAGTCAATGCTTTTGTTCATGCCCCCCTCGACGACGAAGAAGTTATCTTCATGAGGATGCCACCGGGGTTCCAGAAGAGGGGGAAAGTCCTACGCCTGAGAAAAGCTCTCTACGGACTACGCCGCTCGCCGCTCCTCTGGCAACAGATGCTTACGTCGTCTCTAGAGGAACTGGGATTCAGAAAAGTTCCCCAGGAGCCGTGTGTCATGGTGAAGGGAGCGGTGACCGTCTTCTTCTACGTTGATGACATCATCTGGGCATTCCGGAAGGAGGACGAAGGGGTCGTCGAAGAAGCTACTCGGGGACTACAGAAAAAGATCAACCTAACTCGGCTTGGAGAACCTCGCTGGTTCTTGGGGATTCGTATCCTCCGCGATCGTCAAAGGAAGACGCTTTGGCTGACGCAAGACGCCTATATCGACAAGATCGCGTATAAGTTCCTGTTAAACAACGACAACGCCCCTGAGTCTCTCAAGCTCCCAGACACGCCAATGATCTCTGACGAAGAGCTCCTGCCAGCTACAAGCCAAGCAAATGAAAGGGAAAAACATCAGTATCTCCAGAAGGTTGGTTCCGTGCTCTTCTCAGCAATTTCAACGCGACCAGATATTGCGTTTGCCGTATCCCGACTGGCAAGACATAACCACAATCCCGATGAGAAGCACCAGAAAGCAGCAGACAGAGTTATCCTCTTCCTCTTTGCAACGAGATCGTACGCGTTACGTCTCGGAGGAGGATCGAAGGAAGCGGAGCTGTTCCTCTGTTCGAGTGACGCATCGTTCGCAGACAATTCAGTCGACAGGAAGAGCTCACAAGGCTACGTCATGACCCTATTTGGAGGATCAGTGGCGAGAGCGTCAAAGCAAGCGACAGTCACGACGTCAAGCACGGAGGCTGAGTTGCTTGCTCTCTCAGAGGCGTCAAAGGAGGCGATCTTCCTGAGCCGTCTGTTGAATTCCCTGGACATCCGAATTCCCTCTCCGTTGGTAGTGGAATGCGACAATGCCCAGACGATCAGACTTCTAAGAGGAGAGTACGAAGCTCTCGACGAGACTGAGGCACGTAGACATTCATCAGCATTGGCTACGACAAGAGGTTCAAGATGCTCGAATTCGGGTCAATTGGGTGCCTACGACACATATGCGAGCAGATGGCTTGACGAAGGCATTGCCGAGGCAGAAGCTCCTCGAGTTCCAACGAATGGTTGGGCTTGAGGAGATAAAGGAACGATTGAGTAGAGAGGCCAAGCTTGAAGAATTACGAGATGTGATACATCCCGTGATAGCCATAAAGAGGCCCAGGGCGAGAGATGAGTCGTGCACGACATTCCCGCATCTCTAGCAACGTCCTGGTTGGCCGTCACTAAGGGTGTGTTGCGAAGCCGCTCGTAGGACCTCTAGAGGTTCCTGCTTGCTGATGCTCCTGCTGAGACAGTCAGCCAGGACGTCAGGCCTGCTTTCTGATGCGTCGGCTGAGACAGTCAGCCCGGCCGTCAGGGACGGTGTCCTAGGAAAAGTGGGGCGCAGCCACCCCCGACGATTGACGGAGGTGTGAGGCAGACGGAGAAGATCGAGATTGTGGCCAGGAATAAAAGGGCGAGGAAGGAAGGAACAGACACAGAGAACAGAAGGGAAAATGGAGCAGCACCGGACGATTCTGAAATACTAACTTTATGCCTATTTGGCCCTACTATTCGTGACAACTATATTAGCTATTACTTAGCCTTCTTCTTACTTTACTTATTATATAATTCTTATAAAGATAGATATAAAGACTTCTTAGGCTAAGTATAAAGCTTATACGCTTAATCCTATACTTATAGAACTATTATTATAGTAGACCTATTAGTATATAGGCCTAAACTATAGTATCTTTTAATATAAAACTAAGTATAACTCTATATATAATATCTAAGGTTTCCTAAGGATTAAAGGAAACTTTAGTTAATAGATTATATAGGCTATAATAAGCTTATAGTAACTATTAACCTTTATAGCTAGCTATATAATACCTTTAATTACTATACCTTTTATTTCGCTTAAAGCGCCCTTTACTTACCTAAGGGCGATCTTTTCTAGTAGTACTTATATCTCTTATATAAGCGCCTTATTAACTATAGTATAATACTAATAGCCCTTATTTATAAAGGCGGTAACTAATAAAGAGTTATTAATTATAACCTATATTAAAGTAAGCTCCTTTTTAATATAAGTAGATAATTCTTCCTTTTTTTTACTTATACTAATAATTAAAGCTTTAAAGCCTATCTTTACTTTAAAGCTACTCTTTTTCCTTTAGGCCTAAGGATATAGAGTCCTTTTTATTATTTAAGGTAAAAAGTAGTTCTATCTTTACTACTTAAACTACTAAGGGTTATTTAGCTAAAAAGAAATAGTATTTTAATATAAAGTATATAAACGCGCTATAATATAAGTAGTAGCCGTTAGTATTCCTTTTCTCGATTTCCTTACTTATTACTTACTTTACTTACTACTTAAAGTATATAATAGTATAAAGGATATTTAATAATAACTTCCTATTATATTTAGCTCGGTCTATATAAGTAGCTAATATTATAGTATCTTTATTAATACTAATAGTTAGCTATTCCTCTTATAAAGGAGTAGTAATTTTATTACTATTATATAGTATATACTTATAAAAAGGTATAAGTAATAAGTATAGAATCGGGTAATTAATAACGTAAGCGGAAGGATCCGTCGAAGGAGTATAGGGTAGGATTTTATCCGGAATTTATAACGAGCATATAAGGGGCTAAATAATATATTAAAAGAATAGCATTATAAAAGATATATACGAACTTACTTATTCTATCTACTACTCCTAGGGAAATCCTTTGTCTTTTATAGACTATTGCTCGCCTACTAGTAGACTAATTAGTTAGCTTTCTAGTTTATTCTATAGTGCTTAAAAGGCTCTATCTATAGTATATCTTCCTAACTTAGTAGGTAGTCTAATTATAGCGTGATAGTTAACGTAAGACTATAGGTTCTAGTATAAGTAGTGGATTTAACTAGAATGTTCTATGCCCTACCTATTCTCGTATCGCGGATATCTTCGGAACCGCTAAACTAAAATAGGCAATAGGGTATCCGTTCTGCTCGTAATTAACTTATATATATTATGTATATTTTTGTCTATAAGGATAGGCTTATCCTAACCCGCTTTTCCTAGAGGAAGGTATAGATGTTTAGTAGAGGTCTTTATCTTTTAAGGGTTATTCCCTTAGACTATATTATAGAGCCTCTTTTTACTAGCTTATTCTATAAAGCCTCCCATATAGAGGAAAAGCTAAGAAAGTAAAAGACAGCTAAAAAACTTCTATTAAGGGGATATAAGCTTTTCTTTTTTAAGGCTCTTTTAATTCTCTAAGGGAAAGAAGCTCTTAGAACTTAAAGAATTTTTCTCTTCTTAGTTCCTTAGTAAATATATCGGTAATATTATCTTCGGATTTAATATAGAAAATCCGAATCTACTTTTCCCTAATATTTTCTTAGGTATAGAAGTAAGCAATATCTATATGCTTTGTCTTTTTATAAAATTCCGGATTTTCAGCTAATTTAATAGCTGCCTCGTTATCCGTTAAGATAGGAGGTATAGTATTAGGAATTCTAATAGATAAGCTATTATTTATCGTATAAAATAGCCGATTTAGATATAAAGCTTCTTTATTAGCCTCCCTAAGAGCAATAAATTTAGCTTCGTAGGTTAATAGGGCTATAGATTTTTGCTTCTAGTAGGCCTAACTTATAATATTTTTACGGATTTTCTATCTATAAGGTTAGACGCCTAGCTAGCGTCGGAATAACCTTTTATAAAATTATAAGTATAAGGGATATTATAATAATAAATTATCCCTAGGTTAGGATATTTATTTAAATATTTCTAGATAGTATTTAACGCTTTAAAATATATATTATCTAGTTTAGAAGTAAATCTAGCATAGGAAATAACAGTATATAAAATATCTAGCCTGCTTATTATAGCTAGATATAATAGAGCCCCTATTTCCCTTTAGTAAATAAGGATTTCTTTTTACGAAGGCGTTATAGTAGCCTTTTTAAGCTTTACTCCTACTATAGTAGGCGTATTAGAAGTTCCTAAGTCTTCTTTATTATATTCTCGTATTTTATTACGAGTATATTTTTCCTAGGATATAAATATCTCCTTTCTGCTCTAGTTTATAATTATATATATTCCTAAGAAGTCTTTTAGTTCGCTTAGAGGCTGAACCTTTATATAATCTACTACTTTTTTATAAGAATATACCCTTATATTCCTATTTTACTGTTATAAAGAAATAATAGGCATAGGGAGGCTTTATAGAATAAGCTAGTAAAAAGAGGCTCTATAATACGGTCTAAGGGAATAACCCTTAAAAGACAAAGACCTCTACTAGATAACTATACCTTCCTCTAGGAAAAGCGGGTTAGGATAAGCCTATCCTTACAAACATAAATATGTATAAAATGCATATGTTAATTACGAGCAGAACGGATACCCTATTGCCTATTTTGGCCTAGCGGTTCCGAAGATATCCGCGATACGAGAATAGGTAGGGCATAGAACATTCTAGTTAAATCCACTACTTATGCTAGAACCCATAGTCTTACGTCAACCATCACGCTACAATCAGACCACCTACTAAGTTAGGAAGATATACTATAGATAGAGCTTTTCAAGCACTATAGAATATGCTAGAAAGCTGACTAATTGGTCTACTAGTAGGCGAGCAATAGTCTATAAAAGACGAAGGATTTCCCTGGGAGTAGTAGATAAAATAAGCAAGTTCGCAAGCATCTTTTACAACGCTATTCTTTTAATATATTATTCAGTCCCTTATATGCTCGTTATAAATTCCGGACGAAATCCTACCCTATACTCCTTCGACCTATCTTTCCGCTTATATCATCGATTACCAGATTCTGCGCTTATTGCTTATACCTTCTTATAGGTTATAAGCCCGGCTTCTCTATAAGTCGGGTAACAACTTCGAAAATTCTTCGAAATTCCAATACTAACTATACGACCTCGAATTATCTAAAATGGGCTCTAGGGACAAGTTCGAATTTGCTAAACTTAAGGGTAGTTCTAACTATACCTTCTAGGCTATTTAAATGCAGGCTCTTTTAGTTAGAGAGAAGCTTTCTACTACTATATAGTAAGAAAATTACTCGAAAACAGAAGAAGCACTTGCTTTGATTTTTCTTCGTATTAAAGATGGTCCTTTAACCTAAATAAAGCATATAACAAATGCTAAAGAGGCGTAGGATAGGTTAAAAAACCTATATAACCCTATTTCCTTTACCTCGAATTACCTACTTATAAAGGAGCTTTTTAATACTTCGGTAAGGGATTTCGAATCCCTAGAAGGCTACCTAAATAAGGTAAAAGAGGTATTCGAAGAGCTAAAAGCACGGAATATTATAATTCCGGAAGTGGTTATTATAGCTTGATTTTAAACAGCCTTTCGGGCTCGTTTTCTAGCTATATAACTAATATAACGCAAGCTCTCGAAATAACTTAGAAGCTTTTAATCTAGAGTCTCTCTAGTAGTCTTATAGACGAATTTAAGAGGACTAAGTCTCTAGAAAATCCTCCTAAGCTTTACTAAGAAGCCCTAGAAAAAGATAAAAATTGCATTACAATGCACTTACTATAAGAAGAAAGGGCATCTAGTTAAAGATTACTACTATCTTTACCCGGAAAAGGCCCCTAAAGGCTTTTCTAAAAATTTAAAAAATCAAAAGAAAGGAATACCTTCTAAGAGGCCTAGAAAACCTTCTATAGAAGGAAATCCTATCGAATTAGACTCTCACGTCGATAAGAAGACGAAAAAACCCTCTTCTCTATATATATCGGAAGCAGAAAAAATAG